ACATCGTCTGTTGCTGCTGTAGCATCATCTGTTGCTGCTGTACCACCGTCAGCTGCTGCTGCTGCTGTAGCATCGTCTGCTGCTGCTGTAACATCGTCTGTTGCTGCTGTAGCGTCGTCTGCTGCTGCTGTAGCATCGTCTGTTGCTGCTGTACCACCGTCAGCTGCTGCTGCTGCTGTAGCACCGTTGTTAGTGTGGCTTATTGAGAATACCAAGAAACAATTAACCCCAGAGGATTTGCCACCCAGGATAACCCAAAAAAGTCAGTGTCATCGAAGACTGTCTAACTTATTTCCATTGGGGTCCTTAATCTTGTCTCCCAGGATGCAACCCACACAAGTCGACTAACACCCAGGTGAACAGGGAAAAATGCCTGGAACTAGTGCTCATATTGGTGAATTTAAAGCCAGCAAAGGTTGGTTTGAGAGATTTAAGAATCGTAGTGGCTACACAGTTGATAAGGCCTGTTCTGGAAGAAAATGCCAAACAGGACCTACAGTACTCAGGAGGAAAAGGCACTCCCAGGACACAGTGTCTCATCAGTCATTGCTGCATCTTCAATAAAGGTAAGTGTCATTTATTCTTCATTTAGTAGACTAGTACATGCACAATATATACTGTGCATGTACTACTCTACTATTGTGCATGTATCCTTCTCTTTGTGTGTGGGAAAATGTATATTTCATGTGGTAAAAAAATTTTTTTTTCATACTTTTGGGTGTCTTGCACGGATTAATTTTAATTCCATTATTTCTTATGGGGAAAATTCATTCACATACCGATTATTTCGCATAACAATTACCCCTCTTGCACGGATTAAAATCGTTATGCGGGGGTCCACTGTATTACTCTAATAGAGTAAAGATCAAACCAGCGAGTGGAACAATCAACGACTCAACTATGCTAGCACTTGCATCTGTCGTTAACGACAGACTGCAGGTTAAGTGTAATGTGATCTTATCACTCAAAGAAGCCTTCGTTGTGTCTGTACTGATGACCCGAGGCTGGAAACTGCTCACCACTACTGCTATGTCCACTCTACAAGATTATGGATTCTCTGTTCTGAATTCCCCAGCACTGAGGGCCAGAAGAGCTGTGTTCCTCAAAAGACTCGACAGACTCATCACTACACAGGTTATGAAGAGTTAAGTTGTCCATTGAAGAAAAGAATCCTGGGCCAAGGTGGAATTTCTTACCAAGATACCCAACGCCTCCTCCATGCTGAAGGTCACCTTCAGTGACGTCAACATGGCAGCCAGAGCCCTCATGAGGGCCTGGCTATTCACTACTTCCATTTTCAATCAGCCTTCATTGAAGCAGAAAAATACCAACAAATCCCACAGTGCTATAACTGTTACTATTTCCAGCATATCACCAAAAACTGCCCTGCCAAAGACAAGAAGTACTGCTCCACCTGTGGCCTTGAGGGTCATGACTTCAAGAATTGCCACTACTGCTTCCCCACCGAAAAAGCTTGAACTGCAAGGATGACCACCATTTCTCTTGCTGCCAAAGGGGCCCAATCAGAAGGGACATACTCAAGAAACAACAACAACAAAAGAAGTCCAAACCACAAGCACCCACATATTTGCTATTGCCAAGATTCAAGCGACACTACCAAGATACTACAAGCCACGCAAGTGCTCTACCAATTTCCTCCCAGCACCTGCTGCCGACCCCACCAAGATCCTATGTTGCATCATGTATGCTCAGGTACAGAATGCAGCTGAGCCTGGCTCCTTCAACACCACCATCAACGAACTATTCAGACTAAACAACATGCCTGGACTCACATTCCCTGCATCACCACCTTCCACTGAGATCCTACAAACCACTGCAAATATTGCCAGCATAACTGCTGTTCCACCACTGACACAACCTCCACTCGACATAGAGATGGACCAATCTGAGACCACTGATACATCGGCAAATCCTACCAATAAGTGTCCACCACCGCCTGCCTCCACCGCAACTATCCAAGCCGAGGCCTTGCCTCTGACACTTCAACCGCCAGCCAAGAAAACTAAAACTCAAGAACCAAGGGCTGCAGCTCCCCAGGCCACTACCAATCCCCCACCGCAACAAGAAGCCAAGGTCAAGAGTGGTGGACACTGCACAACCAACCAGAAGAACAACCCAATGCGAACTCCAGAAGGTGATCAAGACCTGGACGACGTATTTTCACCCAACATGGAAGTACAGTGGACCCCCGCATACCGATGGCATCACATAACGATTAATCCGCATACCGCTTGCTTTAATCGCAAAAATTTTGCCTCGCATACCGCTTAAAAACCCGCTCACCGATTTTCGTCCGAGACGCGTCCAATGTGCGGCCTGAGCCACGCTCACATGTTCCGCCGGTGGCATTGTTTACCAGCCAGCCTCCGCGGTAACATCCAAGCATACAATCGGAATATTTTGTATTATTACAGTGTTTTCGGTGCTTTTTCTGGAAAATAAGTGACCATGGGCCCCAAGAAAGCTTCTAGTGCCAACCCTACAGCAATAAGGGTGAGAATTACAATAGAGATGAAGAAAAAGATCATTGATAAGTATGAAAGTGGAGTGCGTGTCTCCGAGCTGGCCAGGTTGTATAATAAACCCCAATCAACCATCGCTACTATTGGTGGTACAGCTGCTGCTGCTGCTGCTGCTGTAGCATCGTCTGCTGCTGCTGTAGCATCGTCTGCTGCTGCTGTAGCATCATCTGCTGCTGCTGTAGCATCGTCTGCTGCTGCTGTAGCACTGTCAGCTGCTGCTGCTGCTGTAGCATCATCTGCTGCTGCTGCTGCTGCTGCTGCTGTAGCATTGTCTGCTGCTGCTGCTGCTGCTGTAGCATTGTCTGCTGCTGCTGTAACATCATCTGTTGCTGCTGTAGCATCGTCTGCTGCTGCTGTAGCATCGTCTGCTGCTGCTGTAACATCATCTGTTGCTGCTGTAGCATCGTCTGCTGCTGCTGTAGCATCGTCTGCTGCTGCTGTAACATCGTCTGCTGCTGCTGTAGCATCGTCTGCTGCTGCTGTAGCATCGTCTGCTGCTGCTGTAGCATCGTCTGCTGCTGCTGTAACATCGTCAGTTGCTGCTGTAGCATCGTCTGCTGCTGCTGTAGCATCGTCTGTTGCTGCTGTACCACCGTCAGCTGCTGCTGTAGCACCGTTGTTGGTGTGGCTTATTGAGAATACCAAGAAACAATTAACCCCAGAGGATTTGCCACCCAGGATAACCCAAAAAAGTCAGTGTCATCGAAGACTGTCTAACTTATTTCCATTGGGGTCCTTAATCTTGTCTCCCAGGATGCAACCCACACCAGTCGACTAACACCCAGGTGAACAGGGAAAAATGCCTGGAACTAGTGCTCATATTGGTGAATTTAAAGCCAGCAAAGGTTGGTTTGAGAGATTTAAGAATCATAGTGGCATACACAGTGTGATAAGGCCTGTTCTGGAAGAAAATGCCAAACAGGACCTACAGTACTCAGGAGGAAAAGGCACTCCCAGGACACAGTGTCTCATCAGTCATTGCTGCATCTTCAATAAAGGTAAGTGTCATTATTCTTCATTTAGTAGAGTAGTACATGCACAATATATATTGTGCATGTACTACTCTACTATTGTGCATGTATCCTTCTCTTTGTGTGTAGGAAAATGTATATTTCATGTGGTAAAAAAAATTTTTTCATACTTTTGGGTGTCTTGCACGGATTAATTTGATTTCCATTAGTATTTCTTATGGGGAAAATTCATTCGCATAACGATTATTTCGCATAACAATGAGCCCTCTTGCACGGATTAAAATCGTTATGCGGGGGTCCACTGTATTTGGAACATAATTCAATTTTTTCATCGTGTCACTCAATTTGTATAGCACATTTTCACCATACTTCATATCAAACTCTGCACAGTAGGGTAGTTAACCCTTTCAGGGTCGAGACAGCCAATCCTGAACTCGTTCTCAGGATCGAAAAATATCCCCCCCCCAAAAAAAAAAAATCTTATGAAATGATAGATAATCTTTTCCCTATGGTAATGACACCAAAAGTATGAAATTTAGTTAGCAGTCTTGACGATAAATACACATCAGCAATTTTGCCCACTTTGAGCCCTATTTTCGGCCAATTCCTGTGTTCCAGTCGACTAAAATCATAACTATTTCACTAGAGCTCCATTTGTTCTATCAACTGAGTACAAAAAACTGCCCATTTACTGATTTCAGCTACCCAAAAAAGTGATCAGAGATTGGTAATTTGGCCAATTTCACAAATTTCAAACCATGCCAATTTTAAAATAGGGTCCAGAATAAACAAGATAGACATTCCTGGCACTAAAATAACATTTTTTCCGTTCATTAGTCATGTCTCCAGGCCCCTCTTATATTACTCTTGCTTTCCATTTTGAATTTTTATTCTAACAAAAAGTAGAAGATTTACTGTTATGCAGACTACTGCATTATTGTAAAAATGGTATAAATAATATCAGCACACTTGTAAAAGAATGTTAGACTCACCAGTTGACGTGTATTGGACGTGTGGCGTGATTTGTTTACTCTTGAACATTTCCGCTACTTTGAGCACAATTTGGTTTCATCGTGAAACCAATCAAAATCAGCTCCATTTCTGTAATATATCTTCCATTCTACCAAATAAGACCAAGAAAACAAGAATACAACCATAAATACCATACAAAAATGCACTGCAAAGTCGCTGTTTTAAACCAAAAACACGGTTGGAGTTTTCTTTTTCTCATTATGCACTGTGTGCTGCAGTACTTTTTTTGTACTGTGAACATTTACCACATAGACCCATTGTTTTACATGTAGGCCTACCAGCTAGACGGAGCTAGAATTTACGCGTACAAGTACAGCACTGACCCTGGCTCTCAAGCTGTACAAGTACAGCACTAAAATGGTTAATACACTAGCTTGTTGCATATGACATTTGCTGCCAACAAATATTCAATTACCTAGTATTTTCCATCTGCTAAGAAAACATGTTTACTTACCACTCTGGTAAGTTATCTTCATCCCATGACTTCCGCAGATGACCATCTTTTTCATCCCAGGGTGGGCGAGATGCACGAGATGAGACGGGGACCCCCCGGCCAGTCCCTCGTCCCATTCCATCATCCCAGTCCCCATCTTGACCATTTTCTCGTTCGCGCCATCCACATCGAGGTCCTACAGGAAAAAATATATACTACTGCCTCACCTCTAAGAAAAATAAATGTTCACAAATAAAGTTAAACTGTAACACTTAGAGGGTTCAACGCTCAAACCACATGTTATGTATAGGCGGCCATTGGTTCATTGTCACAAAAGGCCTAAAATTTATAGTCTAATACGATGACACTAGTTTTTGTTTTTTCAAGTTGGGTTGATGGAAGGTTCTTCAACTTTACTTATTTTATTTGTGACATGTCGGCATACATACCTATGCCTTCTTCAGATCTGCATTGGCACAAACAAAATACAAGACATTAGGACACATGATAACTGTATTTCTTAATTGTAAAAATTGTTATATCAGACTCAGAGAATGTTCAAAACAAGAATTTTAAGGTTTAGATTTGTCACTTAAATAAATCCAACATTGTCTTTAGTATTTTTATTTGGTCAAAAATTAAAACATTCCTTAGCATTTGTGACTTTTCCAAAATCTAACAAAAATTTCAGCATGCTTAACAATCCAATTTTTCCTGCAAGATTTCCTTCCTAGTAGCTATGAACCATTGTTGTAAAGTGAACTTGATAATGAAGGCAACAGAAAGGAAATTCATAAATGCTTCCTGTATTGCAAACAGTACAGTGGTCCCTCGTTGTTCGTAATTAATCCGTTCCTGGAGCCGTTACTATAAACAAAATTTACAATTTACGAATCAATTTTCCCCATAAGAAATAATGTAAATACAATTAATCCGTTCCTGACACCCAGAAGTATTAAAAAAAAAAAAATTTTAACATGAAATATACATGTAGTACTTAAACACTACAATGGGAAATGATGAATGAAACATTAACAGTATAACACTTACCTTTAATGGAGATACTTCTTATTGTATGGGAGACTGGAGGAGGAGAGAGAGTGGATTGTTTATAGTTTGGAAGGGGAATCCCCTTCCATCAACACCTCAGGTACCATTTGCTTTTCTGGGGTTGCTTCTCTTCTCTGTTTCTTAATGCCACTAGGACCGCCTTGAGAGTCACTTGAGTCCTGTCTCACAAAATAACTGTGGAGAGAGCTCTGTTTCTGGCGTCTCTTTAACACTTCCCTAAAATGGCCCAAGACTTTGTCACTGTACATGTTGTCAACCTGGCTTGCAACAACCTTGTTAGGGTGATGTTTCTCCATAAAGCTTTCCATCTTACCCCACATAGTAAAAATCTCTTTAATTTCTGAAGAAGGCACCTTCTTCCATCTCTCTTCCTCCTCCTCTGCAGCAAGATTCTGAGCTGCGATGTGTTGCTCTTCCTGCTGAAGCTCTTGCAGCTCCTCAGTGGTGAGCTCTTCATTGTGGTCTTCCACCAATTCTTCCACATCCTCAAAACTCACATCCAACCCCATGGAACTCCCCAGTGCCATAATTGATTTTACAACAGACATAGGCTCATTAGGGTCAGTCCCAAATTCTTCAAAATCCCTCTTGTCGACACAATCTGGCCACAATTTTCTCCAGAGTTCAAAGTCCTGGTAGTCACTCCCTCCCAAGCCATACCTATAAGGGTTATGCAGTGGAGGATGCTGAAGTGTTCTCTCCAAAATTCCCTTAGGGTCAAGTGAGTGTCTGTGGTCACAGTCAAGCACCTGTGAAACATTGCTTTTGTGTAGAGTTTTTTAAAGTTTGCAATAATCTGCTGGTCCATGGATTGGAGGAGAGGAGTGGTATTCGGGGTCAAGAACTTTACTGTGATGAACCCAAACTCCTCGAAAATTAGGTCATCCAAGTTTGGAGGATGAGCAGGTGCATTGTCCATTACTATCAGGCACTTGAGATCCAATTTCTTTTCCAGGAGATACTCCTTCACACTAGGGCCAAACACTTCATTGAACCACTCGACGAAAATTTCCCTCGTGACCCATGCCTTACTATTAGATTTCCAAAACACACACAATTTACTCTTCATAACATTGTTTTTCCTGAACACTCTGGGATTTTCAGAATGGTACACTAGTTATGGCTTCACTTTGAAATCCCCACTAGCATTAGCACAGAACATTAGTGTCAGCCTGTCTTTCACAGGCTTGTGTCCTGGCATTGCCTTTTCCTCGTGTAATGAAGGTCCTCTTTGGCATTTTCTTCCAAAAGAGGCCTGTTTCGTCACAATTGAACACTTGTTCAGGTTTCAGTCCTTCAGCCTCTATGTACTCCTGGAATTCATGCACATATTTTTCAGCCGCCTTGTGGTCCGAATTGGCAGCCTCACCATGCCTTACCACACTGTGTATGCCAGTACGGTTCTTAAATCTCTCAAACCAGCCTTTGCTGGCCTTAAATTCACTCACTTCACCACTATTTGCAGGCAATTTCTTTACCAAATCTTCATGCAACTGCCTAGCCTTTTCACAAATAAACGAAATCATAAGAGTATCTCCTGCTAATTGTTTCTCATTTATCCACACCAATAATAACTTCTCAACCTCTTCCAGTACTGGTGATCTCATTTTTGTCAGCATAGTTACTCCCTTTGCAACAACAGCATCCTTTATTTCATTTTTCTTGGCCACTATGGAACATAAGGTTGTGTAGGGTTTCTTATACATCCTGGACAGTTCGGCCACACTTGTACCACTTTCATATTGTTCAATGATGGTTTTCTTAAATTCAATCGTATTTCTCACCTTCTTTACCACAGGCTTGGCACTAGGAGCTTTCCTTGGAGCCATGGTAGCTTATTTAGTACTTGCAAGCACTAAAATAAATGGAATATTATGAAATATTTCGCTGGAGCACGTGAGGGGACCTTCGCTCACTGGTAAACAATGCCAGACTGGCTGCCGCCCTGGCTCACGCCGTGGGTATGCTTCCCGGACGAACTAAGACTCGCGAGTCAACCTATGAAAAGCGAGTCCATGTTTATACGAAAATACCCCTATGATTGGCGAATTTTACGATTGCCGGGAACTACGAAAAGCGGGGGACCACTGTATTTGAAATTTTATACTTTTGCTATGCACCTTAGAAGAGTTTCAAGAGTTTCACTACTCCTGCAGATCAGTCCTAGGCCAGGCTTGTTTGGTGCTTCCATAACTGAGAAAACATTCATCACAGTTTTCAGCTGAGAATCTTTTTGTTTAAAAAAAAAAAAAAGTGAGGAAGGGAATAATTCTGCACACACACATTACCCTTCATAACACTTACTGCCTAGTTAATTTATAGCTGTAGTCTAATGCTATTAAATTTTCTGAATTTGTCATAGTGCCTTCAAACTTCAAAATAATGTAACTCATTGGGTCTAGCATTTTCGCACCATGCCGCCTAGGCCTCATGCTGCCATCTGGTGGGCCGAGTTCAAACTTAGAGCTGGCTGAGCAAGACGCTGCATTCCTCTCACTCAAGAACCAGACATACTACCAGAAACACACCTTCCCTAACTCTCTCGCCTAGGCCCTCAGCCTGGGCATGGACTAGCAACCAACACACTGCCTGTACTATTATACCCGGTAAACCTAAGGCTTGTCTCCAAAGACTTATTACTCCACCAGATACATCAACATTTTCTGAGATAGTACTCTATGGATCTGAAGCATGAGATCAAAGCAGAGTATGCAGTGTATGGGCACACATGGATCACCGAGATGTATATGTTTGTACACTATATAGGGCATATACGGCTCACTGAGCAGCTAGGTCACTCAATACACAAGCTAATCAACATTTAAGTGAATAATGTTAACTTGCCTGTTTACAAGTTCACACTGCTCTAATTTGGATTAACATACAAAACTATACAAGCATCTCAGAAATTAAAATTCAATATTTAAATGATGTTTAAATTTTAGTGGTAGAAATAATAAAAAAATCACAACAAATTATAGTAGTCAATGCATTAAACTTGGAGAGGGAATAAATTAAACTTGGAGTGAGAATAATTTGACAAGGTAAATGAGAGATTACATAACATAATAAGAGAACCACTATACAGCTGAAAATATAACAAGTAATAAAGTTATTGGAATAGAAGATTTCAACCATAAAGAAAAAAAGTTGAGTAACCAATGAGGCTGAAAATGTACACAAGTGATCACCAGAAAACCTTCAATGTAATGACGAATTTTTTTCAGATTTCTGAGTAGTACTATTTGAAAAATTCATTTATGTAAGTTTTTCTTCCTTAATAAAGGGCAAACCTTGAAGTGTCTAAGCAGAATCAGTCAAATGACAAGTACTATTCATTCAGGCAATGCATAAGTCAGGTCAATGACTTTTTCATTTTGTTAGAGTACGTCACAGCACGGATTAAAAACAAGTTTTGACATGAACAGGAATGTTGCATGCAAAGATTATGTAACCATTATTTGGAGCATGTTAACACACTTACTTAGGCTGCCTCACCAACCAGCGAACCAGGTCACTAAGGGTCTGACAATTGGGGCACCATTGTCAGATCAGTACCCAGGTTCAGCCAACCATAATGTGGATCTGGCAATTGTGAAGGTGACATGGCTACCACTCACATTTTCACCCTTGTCATTTTCATTCTACAGCTGACTGAAACACGGTGGTCTGCTTTTGTCTTTTGGCTACTGCTCTGCCTTGATTACCGTGGCATGCACTAATGCCTACTGCTGTACGTTGTGTATATAGTGTACATGTACTTCTGTTTATACTTGGTGAAGGATAATATAATACAAAGTTTTCTCCTGTGTTTATTTTGCTCCCTTTACACCCACTATAACAGGCCTTGAGTACTTGGGTTATAATATGGGTAGCCTGTCCAAGAGCTGGAGCTGGACTTAAAGCAGGAGCTGAGCCTAGAGTTGAAGCTGGAGCAAGAAGTAATATCGTAGATAGCTTACTATCTGGTATTGTGTCAGCTTTGCCACTGCTTTACGAATTTTGCATGTCAACTTCGCATTTGCTTTGTTATGGTCAGCCTTGCCATTGTGCAAGTATTCTGCAGTTGGTTTTGCTATTGCATGTCAGCCTTGCTATTGTATGCGCATATTCTGCATTCAGCTT